ACAAATTAAGCACTGGGTGGGACACAGTCCATATGAAAGACACTGACAAAGACTGAGTGTTTTTAAGCAGCGTAGCACTGGGCAGCGTAGCAGTGCCATGGTGCTTAGCATGGTGACAAGGTGTCCACCACCTCTACACAACTGGGAATCTGCCTCACCCATTTGCACGGCATCCTGGGTCCCCCGCCTGTGTACCTTGGTTCATGGACTGCTCCTGCTTGCCACTATTCAGGGCGCAAGAATCAGAGATTCGGGGGGGCTGCTGAGGGCCCCCCAGGTGAGGGAGCTGACCAGTCTGGGTGAGAAAGTGATTGAGGGAGTCACAGAGGTTGGCAATGTGGTGCTGATCCAGGGTCCAGTTCTTCCGCTCAGCCTGGCGCAGGCTCTCCATCAGCTCTGCAAGGGCAATGGGGGGGGATGAAATCCAGTTACTTCATGCATATTACTCCCTCCCCTTGCCTAATCCCTAACCCTATGGGTACTCCCCCGGGAATCCTCCTTTCCTCACACTCAGGGGCTCACCATTTCCTTTCTCATGGCTGTATCCCCTCATAAAGTCCCTTTCTCCACACTCAGGGCTTCCCCACCCCATGCGCGCCTTTAATCTCCGCTGTGCATTCTCTGGGGACCTCCCTTTTTCTAGTCGCAGCGTGTTATCTCTGACACATGAGTGGGACAAGCAGCAGCAGGGACTGGGAAGCCATCTATCTATCTTCTAGTTGCCCCCATCAACGCTGTATCTGAGGGCCCCAAAATCTTGAATGGATTTCTCCTCCCCACAATCCAGGAGGCAGGGCAATGCTATTATCTCCATTGTACAGATGGGAACTGAGGCCCAGAGAGGCTGAGTGACTTGCCCAAGGTCACACAGGAAGTGTGTGGCAGAGCAGGGAATTGAACCTGGGTCTCCCACTGGGTCAAGCAAGAGGTGGGATCTCCCACTGACCTGAGAATTGGGAGTGTTCAATGCTAGACCAGTTCAGCCGGTTCACCATCTTGAAGCTTTCCTTCAGCGAGTCAATGTTGGAGCACCACTCAGGGGGGAATGCTGGGAAGCCAGGCAGACAAGACAGTTACAAGGGAGTAACACCCCTCTTCTCCCACCAGTACCAGGTTTACAATCGCGTCAGTGGTGCCGGGCCCATCCACAAAAAGGGGCCTTGGCCCAGCCCACTCCACTTGCGCTGCACCCTCAGCTGCTGGCTCCTCTCCACCTCTGGCCACTGCTCACTCCTCTCGGCCTGCCAACCGGCTGAGTGCTCCTCTCCGGCCCCGGTGACTGCCTGCCAGTGACAGGGCAGAGAGGAGCCCTCAGCCTCTCCCTGCCGCTCTGCAGAAGCAGCAGGCTGGGGAAGCCAGCGGCTCCTCCCCCTCTCGCCACTGCAAGGAAACGTCTCCTCCACTGCAGGCACCAGCGCCAGGCAGGCAGGGTCGGGTGGGGCCCCGGCGGACGGGACCGCTCTGTGCTCCCAAGCTTCAGCGGTCCTGCTCCCTAGCACTGTGATGGGAGGGGGGATCCCTGCTCTGCGCTGGCTCAGCAAGGCCAGTGAGTGTGCCCAGGGGGCAGGGCGTGAGGGAGTGGGTCTGTCGGGGAGTGCTGGGCTGTGAGGGGGTGGGGGCGCTGGGCAGTCCGGGAGGCTTGTGTGTTTGGAGTGCTAGGTAGTGGGGGGCTCTGTTGGGGGGGCGCTGGGCAGTGGGGGGAGGTCTGTGTGTGTTGGGGTGCTGGGCATTGGGGGGAGGTCTGTCGCGAGTACTATGTAGTTGTGGTGATGGGGCTGTGGGGAAGGACACTGGGCAGTGGTGGGTGAGGGAGATCTGTGTGTGTTGGGGCACTAGGGAGTGGGGGTTCTGTGTGGGGCAGTGGGCAGTTGTGGTGGGGCTGTGGATGGGGGGGCACTGGCAGGGGTGGTGGTGTGCAGGGTGCTGTGTATTTGTGGTGGGGGGTGGGCATAGGGAGTCAGGGGGTGTTGGGCGGGGGGGCTGTGTGGCGCAGCATGGGCCCGCCCCTGAGGGGAAGGGGTAGGCTGGCAACACAGGGCCGGGCAGGCCAGTGTGCATCTGGTGACTGCTGGTGTGTAAACAGTGCCCTTGCACTGGGATGGGCAGAGCAGGACCACCTCTGCCATTCCATGCCCCATTTCCCTGGGCCAGCCCCTTGCTCCAGGACCAACCTCCCCTCACCATGCTCCATTGTGGCCCACAAATATGTTTGGCGCCGGGCCCACAAAAAGTTAATCCGACCCTGTCTCCCCCCATGTAATACAAAATAAACAGAACCTGGCCCTGTCCATTACTTGCCAAAAGACCCTAAATCTGCACTGGACAGGAAATTCAGCTTCCCTGGTCATTCAGTACTCAACTCCCCCCTCATTTCTGCACCCCATGCCTTGTGGGGCTGGATCCCCCTCTGCTGGAGGCGAAAGGTGAATGCAGTTTCCAAGTTCACTCAGACCTGAGTTTCAGCCTCTCCCCCCTCTTTGTATCTCATCTTCTGTAGTGCATGGGCGCTGCTGTGAGGGAGCTCACCACTGGAGCCCTGGGCACCCTACTGAACCCCAACACTATCCCAGCCCCCTCTGCCCCCAGCAGTTCCCTTCATCGCCTGCAGCTCACCAAAGCCAGCGTTGTTGATTGAAGCCTGTGACTGCTGGTGCTGCTGGTGTTGGTGCTGCTGTTGCTGTGGGTGAGTGTGCGGGTGGTGCTGCTGGTGCTGGTGGTACCCTCCATGCTGCATCGGGGGTGGGTGCATGGACATCACAGGTGGGGGGCCATAGCCATCGCCACCCTGCTGCTTGCCCCCCTGGGGTGGACAGCCCTCTGGGCTTGGGGTGTGGAGTGGGGGAGCAGCCCCCACTGATGAGGGGCCCTGCTGCTGCTGGTACATGTAGTAGTTGTGATTGGAGGGCTGCATGTCGCCAAGGAGAGAAGAGAAACCTGCAGGGAGAGAGTAACAAGAGTTAAGAAATGTGGGTAAGGTGGCTGCCAAGCTCAAACACCTGCCTGTGTGTGACCTCATCCTACTTACCCTAATAATGCACTCAGTCATTAGAGTGCCCTCTAGAGGCTCAAACAGATAGCACATGACCCAGGCCTTTCCATAGTCTAAGTCAGTGGTTCTCAAACTGTTGTACTGGTGACCCCTTTCACATAGCAAGCCTCTGAGTGCGACCCCCCCTTATAAATTAAAAATACTTTTTTATATATTTAACACCATTATAAATGCTGGAGGCAAAGTGGGATTTGGGGTGGAGGTTGACAGCTCATGACCCTCCATGTAATAACCTTGTGACCCCCTGAGGGGTCCTGACCCCCAGTTTGAGAACCCCTGGGCTAAGTAATGGCCACGTTTTTATTTAATGCAGTTTTACCAAAATTGAACTCATTCTCCTGAAATATCACATACGTGTGGTTCTGCTAGAGGAGACTGTGTTGCACAAAGCCGAAGTCAGACAAGACATTTAGATGACGTGAGTGTTGACATGTGAGATTTGGTTCCTTTCCCCCCCCCGAGTTTCCTTTTGTGGGTGTGGTATGGTTTTTGTTGTTGTTGTTGTTGCGTTTGTAGCTCAAAAGCACTTGGGCTAGAAACTTTGCCACTTCTCTAAGGTAAATAACTAGAGGGCTGCACACACTGTTGTTTCTGTCGGCTGAGTGCATTGCACACATCAGAGGCTCCTTGCCTTCCTCTATGCCCTCCATAAACTCCCTGTGTGCCACCCTTCCATCCCCTCTATTTCAGGACTCTGCAACCCTTCCACACCATTCCCCATGCCAGGGGGGTCTGTGTACCCCCATGTCTCCTCCCCCCAATATCACTGTTCCCCATCCCCTCCCCCCATGCTAGGGGCTCTGTATTTCTCCCATGGCCCTCGGTTCTCCCCCACACTAGAGTACCCCATCCCCGCCATGCCAAGAATTCTGTGTGAACCCTCATTTCCCCCCTCCTCCCACACCCTCCAACCCCTTCTCATTTTTTTTCTTTCTGTCTGGGACATGTCATTCAAGGTGTCAACATTTTAAAACTGTATTGGAAAGAAGGGAAGAGCTGAGGTGGGGATATTGTTTTGCAGGAAGGTATTAATAATTGTCATCAATTTGTCCTTTGATCTCTAGACAATTACAGAGGTGGCTGAAACTGCTGGATCTGCTAACCAGATACCAGGGGCTCTATGTGCCTGCCATTTTCTCCTTTTGGTTTTCCAGTCTTCACCAAAATCTACAGGGTTCTGCCCATTAATGCCCAGAACATTCCCTGAAATCTTGCAATTGATCAGATGCAGCATTCAAATCTATTGTGCTACTGACAAACATCCTAACACAGAAATGCCTGTCATCAAGCTGAATGTGAGATATTGCTTTGGTTGGCCAACAAGCAAAAAACCCCCAACCCCATCTCAATTTCTCAGGCTTCTTTAGGACACTGTAAAAGTAGCAATAAAAGGGCACATGCACACTTGGTTTTGCCTTCAGAGATCACCTTTAAGTCACTGTTACGAATGAATAATCTCCAATTTTTTGATCTGGGCTTTCTAATACTACTCTAGCAGCTTTCATCCTAAAGTGCTCTACAGAGTTATATACAAGGGTCACTCTCACACTGCTGAAACGCAGCTGCCTCTGGGGGGAAGGCAGCAACTGTTTAACAGCCACACAAGACAGAAGAAGAGACCAAAACTGCCTTCAACTGAAGCTGTGAAAGGAATTTAGGACAGCACAAATATTTACCAAGCAGTATTTTGGCACGGAGAATGGAGATAACACTCCTAGGCAAGATTTTCAAAACTGGCTGCCAAAAGTTAGGCTATGCCCATAGCTCGCCACCTAAATAGGGGCCTAATTTTCAGAAGAGCTGAGCACTCAGAAACTTCCACTGATTTCAAAAACCTTAACTTGAGTGAAAGGGGAGCTCAGTCTCCCTGGCTGGTTCAACCCTTTGGCTCTCAGCTAAGATTGCTAGGGAGGGATTAGCTAGTTTTGGTGATGATGGGAACAGAATGGAGAACAGCCAGACAAGTCACATGCACCACAATTGTTTTCAGTATCAACAGGACCTGAATTTGAGCAATCTAAATGAGAGGCCCAGTATACCACTGCCAAATCCCCGAGCTATCTGTTCCCTGCAATGGGGCTCCTGAATCGATCATCAAAAGTAGGCTTTGGTTTTACATCTTAACCAACAGCAGCAGCTCTATGAGCACAGCACCCCTAGCGCTGAGGTCAGTGCTGACTCAGAGGGGAAAGCACGCCAGCTGAGTCACCAGCACCACTTCTTGCAGCACCATGAGTTTCCCTTTGGTGTCCAAGTACTGACAAAACCTGACGCTGCTTAGCTTATGAGAGCTGCTGGGCTCCCAACAGTTTAGAGGTTGGACTTTTTGTACAGCACCTGGCACAATGGGGCCTTCCTCTATGACTAGGGCTTGTCGGTGTTAGGATAATACAAATAATAAATCATTATTATTGTTGTCACAGAAGAGCTGTGACCCACTGGAGTCCTTCTGCTTGTAGGTTTGTTTGATCCTGCTAGAGTAGCAGATTTTGACTGCAGTGTGGAAAGACTGACTGACTGAAAGTTGAGTGATTATTGATATATGGTAGGTCCTGGTTTAATAATATTGCCCTACCCATACCAGATTGATGTTTTCAAGGATGTCTCTCTTTAAATATAGGGACAGCAAGCTGAAATTGTTCAAGGTTTTCTGCATCCCCTATTCTTGTCGCAAGTGTGACACTGCCCTCTAGTGGCTGATCCCTGAATCACAGAATCCAGAGGAATTCAAGATGAGACTGGATTAGTAGGTTATATCTTGTCCACTCCACCCTATCCCTTCCTCTACAGTTATTCTCTAGGGCTTTGTCCAGTCCTACTTTTAAGTGACCCAAGTGATGGGAACTTGCACTCCTTCCTTTGAAGAGACCCTTCCACAGCCTAATTTCATCCCACTACTTCTAGTTTATGCCAAATAACTGTCGGTCTCCTGCGATTTACAACCTGACAATACTTGCACCTTTAGATGGTAATTCATGACCTCAGACCTCCACATATTTATCTTTTCAAGCCTTTCTTCACAAGCTGATCCCTCTAGCCCTTTAGGAATTTTTCTTGCTCCTTTTGATTCAACATCAGATATTTTTAAAAATCATTGTTAGTTCTACAGAAAGAGAGAGAAGGGCTGACAGTAGGGTGACCAGATGTCCCGATTTTATAGGGACAGTCCTGATTTTTGGGTCTTTTTCTTATATAGGCTCCTATTACCCCCCCATCCCCATCCCGATTTTTCACACTTGCTGTCTGGTCACCCTAGCTGACAGCCTGAGAAAGGAGAATTTCTGGACTACACAGTGTGTGTGTGCGGGGAGAAGCTAGCATTTGAAAGCAGGGGAACCCTCTTTTCACATGCTGCTAGAAAGAGGAAGTGACTCAGAGATGCCGGGAGGGGCATCACTAGGGGATATCACAGGGTCACACATGCAATGCGCCATGCATCTAGGTCTGATACTCACCGTGCTGGGAAGAGGACGATTTCTCCAGCATGGATTTGTAGAGGTTTCGGAAAGACCAGCTCAGGTCCTGGAAGTTGATCTCAGAGTAGGAGAACTTGAAGTCGTGGTTAGTACTGTAGAGCGGGGGTGGCACATCTGCCCCTTCACGGCCCTGCCCTCCCGCCACAGTGGCTGCCACATCCACGGGCCCTGTGCCCTGCTAAAGACCAGACAATAGTATGGAAAAAAATATCTATATAGATTGTTGGCTTTGTAACTTCAGGAATTTGAGGGGGAAGATAGAGGGTTGCTCCCAGAAAAAGAACACCCAGCAAATCCCATATCACCTGTCTGTCTCCCCCTCAAAATCCTCGCAACTCTCCTACCAGAATGGGGGACTCCATCCTCCTCTCCCTCCCAAGGACATACTAGCTCCAGCCCATCCTCAAGCCACTTCACACCCTAATGGCTTTATCCCTGCCCCGTCTGCTCCTTTCCCCTGTTCCACTTCCTCCCTACTTCCCTGCTGGTCACTGATCTCCCCTCTTCAGCCCCTCTTTTGCCCATTGTTTCCATTCTTCCCTATGGCCCTCCCCATCACTGATTTACTCTTCCATCTCTGCCACCCTGTCCCCCTTTCTCCCTTACCCCATCTCCCACTTCGCCCATCTCTGCCCCCTCCTCTGCCACTCACCTGACTGTAGTTGGCAATGGGTGTGGTGCTCTGCAGTGATAGCTGAGGGGTAGCCTCAGGGGGCAGAGAGGCTTCTGTGCTGACTGGGACAGCCCCCCGTGGGCTCTTACTCGCCTCTTGTTCTGGGGAGTCCTGTGATAACTGTGAGCAGGGGGAGAAAAGAAGAGGAGAGGAAATCAGAAACAGACAGAGAAGGGAAGCTGCAGATGAGAAGCCAGCTCCCACATTGTACACGCTTCTGCCCTAGGAAAGTGAGGTACTGGCTGTAGTGGAAGAACATTCAAGAGGACAAAGCCGCTCTTCAGACAGGACTAGATGGCGCTATTGGGTGACAGCAATGGAAGCCACATGGTGGGGACAAGAGGAGAATTCAGACTCCATGTTCACCTCCCTACAGACACGTCCTGTTCCCCCACCAGGACCCCAAGCTGGCCCTGGAAAGACTCCCTTCTGGAGTAAGAGTGGAGTTCAGCCCGCCCCCAGCCCCATCCGCTCCCGGAAAAGAATCACACTCACATCATCGTCTGGAGGGTGCCGCCTCTTGCGGGAGATATCTGGACAGGAATCTATTGTCCAGTAAGAACCCTGAAAAGAAAACCCAATGGTGAGAGGAACTCCCTGCTGCAGGATGTTACTGAGACCCACCGCGCACAACATCAACTAATATATCAATTGTCAGGGCCATCAATGTCCATGCTACAGCACATGAGCTAATGCCAGCTGGGCATCAGGAAGATGTTCTCCTCCTGTAGTATAGGACTGCACAGTGAAGTACATTGCTATTGTGGGAGTTTCATGCCTTCCTCTGAAACTCCAGGTGCCAGCTACCTTGAGAGACAGGTCAAGAGAAAACAAACGAAGGGTCTGATCCAGCATGGAAGGAGATGGCCTGGCCTAGCACATCCTTTATGCCTGCCCACCCCATCAATGTCCTCTGCCTTTCATGGAATTTCTTTATTAGTAATAAGAGTATAGACCAATTAAGCTATAATGATCCGAGTGGGCAAGATGACCTAAAAGCATGTTTGCTAGGAAATTTCTGAAGACCCAGTTCCAGACTGTGGTTTGGTGCTTGGCTGGCTGGCTCTTGCTCATGGTCTAACTGATAATATATGTGGGGTTGAGAAGGAATCTTCCCCCAGGTCAGATTGGGAGTGACCTTGGGGGTTTTTCACCTTCCTCTGCAGCATGTGGGTACAGGTCACTTGCCAGGATTATCTGGGTATATCTCACTCATTTCAATGCCACTGCAGGGCCATGGGGGTCTTGTGCACCTCAGTCCCTTCTATTCTCTGCCTGTGGTGCACACCGGTTTGGTCTCATTTCGATTGTTGGATTTAGCACGCAGGTGTTAGTGGCCTGTGATACACAGGTGGTCAGACTAGCTGAACTGGAGGCCCCTTCTGGCCTTAAACTCAAGGACTGTTACTAACCTCTGACTGTGATTTAGATTGATCATTACAGAGGCAGGACATGGTGGCCTTAGAAGTGAAGGCCAACCTGCACACTAGCATGCAGTCAGTTAGGGTTTACTGAAACAGGGCATTCTAACTAACTGAGCCTTATGAGTTGTGATCCCCAAAATGATGATTCTGTATTACCTAGATACCTAAGTGATGTCAACTGAGCACCCAGTCCCTTAAAGGTGATCTGCAAAGAAAAAAAGAATCTGGGCTTGGGCCCTTTTCTGAAGCATTATGATATAGAAAAAAGACTCATGATGTTCCTGTCAATATATTTACATTAGTAATATCAGAATATTTTTTTTCTTGGTAGTCTCCCTTGGGAACTCAGAGATGCAGCTTGGGCGTTTCCTCTTTAGCCCTTACTGGAGGTGCAGAGATGCTGAATTTTTAGCAAAGCGAGCTTTTCTTACAACTGTTTTGGGGTATTTGAGTTCAGTGGGTGATAATTGTTTTTAAAACCCGAAGTTATAAAACAGCTTTAAACAAATATCAGTTCTGCTCTTTGGTGCTTGGATTTCATTTCCCCGGTACCCATGATGTAATAATCCTACCAGTTCTTTAGTCACCCATGACGTCTTTCAGGCAGAACAGGTTATACAAGATCTGCATTTCTAATATTTAAAAAAAAGGCAGAAAAAAAAATCTTTGAAAAAAATATTTCAATCTAATTAAAGATCACAAGGCAGGGTGAAAAAAGTGGGCTGAAAGCCATTTTCATTTCTTTGCAGTGTATGTTTCTGGAGTCATCGAATACAGCAGTACATCTCCTTGTTTTAACATATATACTACATATTTCAAAGTTTTAACCACCTAGGCAGAAAGGGCAACACTAGCTTATTCCCTGTGGTTTAAGTGACTCACCCGGGAACACGTCAATTACTTACCTTCCCAGGATCGTCCCTCGGTCGAGGCACCTTTCGAAAACATTTATTCAGAGACAGGTTGTGGCGAATGGAGTTCTGCAGAGGGACGGAGAGAAGTAAATAAATGCTATGTAGGAAGGATAAGGGCTGCAGAGGAAACTGAAGACTGCTGTGTATGCCCAGGATGGGGTGAGAGATCACTCAAGGCCAAAGCTGTCTGTGTACATGCAGGATGGGCCAGGACAGAGGCTAAGGAAAGGAGAGGGAGGGACAGTTCTGGAGGCCAAGGCTTTCTCTGTACGCCCACAGAAGGTACAGTGAGGATGGTATTTGGGCCAGGAAGAGATTGGCAGAGAATACTTTTGTGAAGGGTCATCTGGCTCTGCACTTCCTCCAGCTGGTAACTAGACCTTTGCCTTTACACCTGGCTCTTTTCTTTGCTTAGTGGGAACGTTTTGTATTGAGAAAAGAACGAGCGCTCTCTTAAGGTGGTGGAGACTTTGCTCCAGCCACAGCGTTCCTCACCTTCCATCCGATGCCAGCGTTCTTGTAGTAGGGGAAGTTGTCGCAGATCCAACGGTAGATCTCGCTAAGTGTCATCTTCTTGGCAGGCGACGAGTTGATGGCATAGGTAATCAGAGTGGCATAGCTGTAGCGCGGTTTCCCATCCTGGTGCACTGCAGCCTCATCCTTACTCAGGGTGGCGTTGGGGTCAGTGGGGGAGCCTGGGGGGCATTTCCGGGCAGCCCCTGGGGGCCCCGCCTGCGAGGAACCCCCTAGTTTCTCAATAGTAGCTCGCAGGGTGAGCTGGGGGAGCCAGTCTATGGAAGTGAGACTGCTTTCCAGGTCAGAGGCCATGATGCTGGAAGCCACACTGTCTGCTGGGAAGAGAGGAACAAACAGGACTGCTGAGTATAAGCAAACTGTACCTTGATAATGGAGGGAAAGATGTACTCCCCCACATCAGCATACCTTGCTCACTGGTCACAGCCAGGGAAGGTTGTGTCACTACAGACCTGGGATTGTATCCCTGGGAGGACAATCCTGCTTTCTGATAAGGTTACACAGTTTGTCCTGGAATAGTAACCTAGTCCTGCTCTGTGTATCCCAGTCAGACTCAGGTAAGCTAACTAGGAAAGGAGAGGGATCTATCCCGGGGAGTGGGGCCATTCCACTTGCCCAGGCACGCACACCGTGATAGCATCACCTCAGCAAGCCAAGACTGGTATGGTATCCAGGGGGACCATCCCTCTCACCATCGCCCAGCTGTAGCCTGATAAAGTCACCTCCTCAGCTCAGGAGTGGGATCATAGCTAGGGAGGAATGTCCCTCATGTTGTATCCAAGTCACACCTAAATAAGATCACCTGTATGGGTCAGGACTGGCAATATATTCATTGGGGGTGGGGGGAGGAATTTCTTCCCCATGGCCCGAGGTAATCTCTCCCTACATCATATCACATTGTATCCAACCCAGTGTGTAAGCTCCTTGGGGCAGGGATCGTAAAAAATCCCCCCCCAAGGACACACCTTTCGTGGTATATACACATAATTATATCAACCACATCAAGGAAGGACTGAGACTGGACTGAAAACAGAATCATTATAATTAAGACTTTGCTCTTCTTTAGCCCTTTTTTCCTAAGGATCTCAAAGCATTTGACTGAATTAAGCCTCATGAAATGTAGGTAAGTATTATTATCCCCAAGTTGAAAAATCTGAGGTACATAGAGAAGTGACACGTCCAATGTTACACAATGTTAGGGATGATCTAGATAAATTTAGTTCTGCCATGAGTGCAGGGGACTGGACTAGATGACCTCTCAAGGTCCCTTCCAGTCCTATGATACAGTGAGTCTGTAGTAGGGTAGAGAACCGAACTGGGGTCGAACCGAACTGGGGTCTCTTGAGTCTGATCCTTGCCTTAGTCACAAGACCATACTTCCCCTCATAAAAATAAAGCACCCCTGCCCAGTGAGAGCAGTAATTATACCCAAGCATTCAATTCAAGAGGCCACATTTTTACAATGAAACAATATATTTGGTAACCTGTGTGAAATGGGCAAGTATATCACCATCCAGGTTCTAGGGAGTCAAGGTCATCACTAAAAAACAACATCACAACTGGCACTAATTGGCTGCACCAAGGACTGAATTTCCCTCTCATCCCTGCCAGTGATGGTCCCTTTGAATCTGAGCTGAGATAGTTTGCATGACTGCAGCCTGCACTGTACCTCTTCAGGGGCTGCAAGTTCTGCACCTTTCACCAATATGAAATTCACTTTTAAAGAGATCACTGTATAGAGATGCATGTCAGCACACATAAAGGCAACAGTCGAACACAAACAACACACTCCGGTAACAGATCTCACACACACACACACACACACACACACACACACACACACACACACAC